TGAGCCTCAAGCTCCAGGTGTTATAAATATTGCTTGATTGCCACCCACTTCTAAGTTGCCCTGTCTGCGCCCTTTTAAGCCACAGGCAGTATTGCATGAATTCAGCTTAAGCAGTATTTAATCAGAGCATGATACTTTTAGAGCACAAGCTGGCACACATTTTTCTGACTTTGCTTTCTGTATGTGGACATCTTCTTAAACTTGGACAGATCATCTTTAGGATGAAAGGAGCCTATCTTAGCATTTTCCTTGTGTGGACGACCCAAAAGCCACACAAGATGAAATGTCCACACAAGAAAGGTGTTCCGTCAGGGGTTGGTTTGCACAAGTATATAAAGACACACACACACACACACACACACACACACACTCACTTGTACTTAGCTTTGTGAAGATGCTCATTGTGATGGTTTCGGAAGAAGGAACACGAGAAGCTCGAAAAATACCAAGGGCTGAAAGAAGAGCTAGAAAAGATGTGGAAGGAGAAGGCACAAGTGGTCCTCGTGGGAATAGGAACACTGGGGGCCGTGACCCCCAAACTAGGACAGTGCCTCCAACAGATCCCAGGAACAACATCTGAGGTCTCCGTCCAGAAGAGTGCAGTCCTAGGAACAGCTAAGATACTGTGCAGGACCCTCAAGCTCCCAGGCCTCTGGTAGAGGACCTGAGCTTGAAGGAATGTGAAGGGTTATTAAACCAAACTATTTCATATTGCGTACCGGTGGAGGGCAGTAATACGCCAAGCTCATACTTCTACGCGGCCTTAATGAATGGTAGAAGAAGAAGGACCGGAAACTCAGTCAGTTTTCCGGTTGCTTATAAAAGATCCGCTCTACTACATCATATCACGTAAGTATTGACGGTTGTAAAAGAACACGGTAAAATGTGAGTTTGTGGTGGCTTTTCGTGTAACAGAGGACGTTTTGTGTTTTGCTACATATGTATTGTAATATCGTACGCTGGCCAATGAAAGCTAACGCCGTCTATGTAACGAGACAGCATGCATGCTAAGGCTAGCTATCATGTCTACATAGCGTTAACTTGCTAGCAGCAGCATCTTATCAGCCGCGATCTCACTTTGGTGCATCACTTGTATGACAAAGTGTTAGTAAGGCAGTTAGATATGTTATTCCAAGTTGATATACTAGTCCAAGTTGAAACAGTTTTAAGTGAAAGAAAGAATTGTGAGCGAAATGCAGTTTGGAGAGCTAAAATGCATCCGCAAATACCCGATAATCAAAAGGGTAAATGCAAATGTTGTAATGCTTTAGCGTCACTCAGTCCTAAATCTAACGTTACACCAGAAAGATAACCAAGTGGAGTTTGTAAAACTCGCTGAGTCATTTAGCAGCACTTACTGCTATTCTGAAGGTTGTGCTATTTCCACAGCCCTTAAAGATTTCTAACCATTTGGATGAAAAAATATTTGAAGTGTTGTAACGTTACACAGTTTAGTCACTGTTACCCTGAAGACATCAGTCCCCTGTTGTAACACCGTAATAGACAGATTGTGTGAATTAGTAATGTATTTATAGCTTTAATTAAATCTATAAAATTGAGATAAAACTGGCTAAAACTCTAATTATCCAGAATTACAAATTCTTTTGACAAAAAGAAGATTTTTATTATCTACACAGCTGGCCCCAGCTTGGGACTTTTGTGTATTACATACATTGGACTTGCATAGATAACCTTCCGTGAATGGGCGAAATTGAAACTTGCCTTTCAGTTTTAACCCAGTATCGTTGTTTCTTAACACTCACCATTTTGTGAGCATCTGGGTTCATAGATAAATACAACTGAGTATCATCTATGTAGCAGTGGGAATTTATGCCATGTTTCCTCATAATATTGCCTAAGGGAAGCACAGTGAAGTGAGCTGGACCAAGCACAGAGCCCTGTGGAATTACATGCTGTGATCAATGGTGTCAAAAGCAGCACTGAAATCTAAAAGGACAAGTATGGAGACCTCTGGGCATGTGTGACATCTCAGTCACGTCTTGTTTTTTTTGTACCTCATCTGCACTTCAGGTGATGGAGAACATGGTTCATGTCTGCATTCAGTTAGTGTGTTTTGAAAGAAATATGCAAATGGAAAGGGTCCTACAGATTTCACCTGAGAGATTCCGGAAACGGTCAGATGGCAGCTAATGAGTATAATAATACGTAATAAATAAAGAAAAAAATAACTGCAAATAAATACATAATGTGCTGTTATATATCAATGAACCAAACTAAAGATACCTGTGTGTAAGCTAATGTTCCTAAAAAGGCCACAGTGATGACAGCAGTTCACCTGCACTGTAACAGTAACACTGACTCAGCTTTATAGAAATAAATGTTAGTGTATGTTATTATATGTCACGTGGCCATATAATAATAACCAAGAGATAGCAATATGGATTATGCGTTAACGTAAGTAAAAAGCCCTCCGCTGCAGCACATCAAGGTACTGTCCAGGGAAATAAGAGGGAAATTTGTGTTAAATAGACTAACTCTGAAATAGACTGACTCAAATTAGCTTAGTGGGACATCTGAAGCTGCATTTGAGCCTCAGATCAATTTTAGAGTGCATGTTTTTACAGAACGAGAGGTGTGTAGTCTGTCCCTCATTTTTTGCAGTGTACTGTTGTTCCTGGTGGAAACAATCAGTGGAGAGGAGAAGTGACAGTAACTAAGACCTATTGTCACGTACACAGGAATACATCACTATTGTTTTAACACCAACTTGAAAAATCCCAAACTATTCCTTTAATGTTCGCATTACATTAATCTCAATGAGTTGTTCTAACTGTAAATTTTCTTCTTTAGGCAAGAGGGAAATTTTTATGCCACTTCTCATCAACACATGTACTTTAACTATTAGAATTACCATTAATCCAACTTAAACATTAATCATGTTTACTGTTGAATGCTTCACTCAATTGAAACCAGATTTGGTTCACTATCAGTGGCAGCAGCTGGCAGCAGCTTGCAGCAACTACACTGCACTTTCTTCAGGAAATGCCCTCTCTAGTTCTTTTTAAGTATTTGAGAACTGTCATTTGAATGTAAGGTTTTGTGTGTAGTACTGCCCTAAGACTGTCAGCGTCTGCAGAGAGTCTTGAATAAATCATGTGCATCATCTGCAGATGTTACCTTAAAATAATCTTTTAAATGAACACCTGAGGGTAGTTTTGTATTGAAGCAGAGGTCTGATACTTGATCACTATCTCAGCAGAATGCCAAAATCAAAGGAAGTACTGTCCTCCACTTCTGGAAGTGATTCCGACAGTGAAGTAGAGACCAAGGTTTGTCTTCTAATACTAATTTCTGATTTGTTTACTTGCACTTCCAACTGTTACAACTTTCACATCAACGCCTGGTTGTTAGGCTATATATTTATTATATAACAGGACAGGATATACAGTTTAGTATCACATTTTTCTGCATTGATTAGCCCACGTCCACTTGTGATGATGCTTAATTTTACTTAACATTATCAGTGCAGGACTTTTACTTGTAACAGATTAGGCTACTTTTACATTGTGATATTAGTACTTTTACTTAAGCAAAGGAGTTGAATACTCCCCTTTACTACTGGTGCTAACATGCAAACTAACATGCTTTAGTTATATACCATGTTATAGTTATATGCTAGGATATAAAAAAAAAAAAAAAATCTTTGTTTATTCTTTAGGGTCCATCTTGCTCTGCAATCCAATACAAAAGACCCTTCTGATTTCTTTCCTTTGAGGAGCTGATAATGATAGTAATTGTGTAAGATCGTATATCGTGATATTGTGAAACTGTGGTGTTTCTTGAGACAGTTATCATACCATGAAAATCTCATAGCGTTGCAGCACTATCCCCAGTACAAAAGACAAACAACTGTTTTATAACACATCTGATTTTTAAAAAACACTAACAGTCATAAATACTACAGAATAGAAGTCGACTACAAGCAGGGATGAATAGAGCTAGAAATGTATTGATACTTTTACTGTGTATCACTACTGATACCTATCTGAGCGCTTACCAAAACTTCTCCAAAATTATATAAATCATTGCCTTTTTACTGCTAGACCCCAGTGCTCTGTTTCACTGCTTTTCTTCTCCAAATCTGCTGATACTGGATAGTTTATGTAAAATGACACAATGAGGAACAAGAATTTAAAAATGATTTGTCTGTTTTTTAGGCAAAAAGAAAGAAGTTAAATGCACCAGAGAAACCTGCTAAAAAACCAAAGAGTGGTGAGAGTTCCAAGCCAGGTGGCTCATCCAAAGGCAGCAGTAACAGTGATGAGAACATGTTCCAGGTGGGTATTACAGGTATACATTATCAAGAAAAGGTGAACCATTTGGAATAATCAGGTTTTCTACATAAATTGGTAATAAAATGTGATCTGATCTTCACCAAAGTCACAAATAGAGACAAGTACAATATGCGCTAGTAACACACAATTATAATTTTGCATGTTTTTATTGAACCCAGGCATTAAACATTCAAAGTGCTGTTGGGAAAAGTAAGTAAACCCCTGGATTTAATAATACACTCAGTTGTATGTACTGTTGAAAACTGACACCAAGGATGCATCCTGTATTAAGATCCACTTTACTGAAATCAAAAATTGGATGTCCAGAAACTTCCTATACATAAATGATTCAAAATCAGATGTAATTATAATCAGGTGCAATATCCATAGACTTGTTTTGGTTTTTTTGTTTTGTTTTGTTTTTTGTGGAAACATCCCACAAAATCTATCTTAATGGTGAGAGTGGCTGTCAAAGGCTGCTGTGAGCCCAGACTCATCAAACAGCTTGGCAGAAGTGCAGAGATGGTCCCTTCTGGTTTCTGACCAGAATGCAACTCTTAACCAATCAGAGAAGGCCACTGTCAGATGTGGGAGCTCACAGTTGTCAATCAGTATGTGAATGTGCTTAAGCTCTTTTGATTTGTGGCAGGCTAGCAAGCTACTGATTTCAGTGTTAGCTGAGACAGCTACGTGAAAAAGGACAAGAAATGAGAATTTTGAAGAGAAGGAAGAAAAAGACAGTTGAATTTAGTTCATAAAGTTGGATCAGCACAACTTTCAGCTGATGGACAGAGGAGGAATTTATAAACAGATGGCGATTTAGCATTCTTCTTGACTGATATGTGAATTTATTATTTGCTATAAGGATTCAACCATCATACCACTCAGGAAGGAGACGTGCTCTGTCTCCTAGAGATGATGAGATGTTCCTCAGTTAGGTTAAAGAAAAGTCCCCATGTAACCATTTTAATAGAAAAAAAAAAATTGAAGTAACTTCAGGAGGAGTAACAATTGACAGTTCACTTCTTACAGATTGGAAAGATGAGATATGTCAGTGTCAGGGACTTCAAAGGTAAAGTCCTGATCGACATCAGAGAGTACTGGATGAATCAAGATGGGGAGATGAAGCCAGGGAAAAAAGGTAATCCCTGCATGTGCTATAAATATGGTTTGCTATGTTTCAGTGATGTGCACAGCTGTTTGGGGTCATCTCCATTTTTTTTCCACTTTTTGCTGACATTTAACCAGATTGAGTCCAGTCAGTAACCCTAAATGGTACAATGCTAAGAAGTAAGCTGCCAGAGTTAAAACATGCAAAGACAAAAAAGTCACTAAAATTGTTTGTAAGTTTCATGTAAAACTGGGCTTTTTCAGGGCTCTAGTAATAGGTATGCATGCATCTTTTCTGCAAGTAAATTAAAACAACAATACATAACTTTATGCCATTAAATAACAGCTTCAAAACCATTTTGATGGTAGACTGACTTAATATAAGGTGAATGGCATCGCTGCTCTTACCACTCCATGCCTTACTATGATCTGGATGACTGAGAATCTGCACAGACATCTAGCTGTACCACAGTGTTTAAAAACAAACAAACAAACAAAAAAAAAGCACAAATGTATTAGCATCAAAATATAACCTCAGGTACCAAAGGCAAAAGTACTCGTTGTGCAAACTGGAACATTTATATTATTGGACTATAATTATTAATGTATTATTGTGTTCATCACATTTGTTGCTACAGCTGGTAAAGCTGTAGTGAAACTTAATAATCTTATATACTTATTTCAAGTACTTTACATACTGCTAGATAACCAATTAGCTGAACTCTCTGTTAAGCTTTATTAGCAGCTCAGTGGGCAAATGACAGAAATCAGTTGTTTGACACACAGTAAGAGCCAACATATAGTGCCCTTCCTGTTTTTTTTATTGGATAGAATTATTTTTGAATCTAATCGTGACACCAAGAATTGGTGCCAATCCCACTACAAAAAAATGTCATTAGCAAAGGCTGTTGAATTGTACCAAAACTGCAAAACTACAGGTGACCCCAAACCTTTCAACAGTAATGTACATACAGTGCATGTTTATTTGAAAAACTACACCAGAACATGGAAGGATGGATGTTTGATGTTTTTAGTGGTTTGCAGTTGTGATGTCAGACACAATTTAAAGCTCTGTTTTAAATTTCTTTTAGGTATCTCCCTGAATCCAGAACAGTGGAACCAACTGAAGGAACAGATTTCAGAAATTGATGATGCTATTAAGAGAATATAAGCATTCCTTTTAATGTTATCAGTTGAGCTAATTGAACATTTTGGCTAATCATTTTTGTTAAGAGCTTGGTATTGTTTTCTAATAGACTTCTTTAATTAGTAGTTGAATAGATCTAGTTTTGTCTAATACTCTTGTTTTCCTTGTGAAATTTGTTTTTGAGCTTTTGTAGTAAAGGTATGGGTTAATGAGTAGGTGGTTGCTCACTTGGTAATAGGGTGTCAATACAGTTTTTGTCTTGAACAAAAAAATGAGTCACTAGCTTAATATTGCTTAATTAATGCGCAAGTTCATGTTCACAGTTTGACCAGCATGTAAATATACATCAGGGCTTGTTTCATCTGATCTTTATAATGTATAGTAACCAATATCAGTGCTCTTCATTTCTTATAGCTGAGCCCAGTCTGTCATGTTGTACTTGCAGCTAATTAGATTCATTGTGAGCCATGGTTTAGCTCTTGAAAATAAAATAAAAGAAACTGTTTAACTGGAATATTAAGTTATTGAAAGCATTTTATTAAAATTGCATCACATAATCAGATTTGAGATAACTATAAATCAGCTCTGTCAGTCATAAAAAATGAGGCTTGTGTGACTTGCGTGTGTAAAGCCAGAAGCTGACAAAACTTGGCAGATACTTGTGAGATGATAAACACTCGGTCACATTTTTTAAAATCATTGGGAAATTGTATGCAAACCTTTGACTGATAAGTGTATCACAACATCTACAGGAAACTCCACAAATGTCCCTTGTAATGACTCCACCAATGTCACATAGTGGTGTAGCATTTTTGAATATGGATTTCATATTCTTAGAAAGGGGGCACCAAGTAAATTTATGATGAACTAACTGAAATTTAGTGTAATTATTATAAATGACCAATTACCAATAACTGTCAGTAGAATAATTACACTTAACACATTGTAAACCAGTTTAAGAAATTGATCTCTGAGTCAAGGAGGGAATGAATTCCCTGGAACACTGACCTCTGCTCCCTCAACACAGCCTTTGGTTTTTGTAAATGTTAACTAATGTACAACTACATTGATACTCCACATTATTACGCTATGGTAATAAATGAAAGTGACAAGAATATAAGTGATGGAAACAAAATGTAAAGCAATGATATAGTGACAGATGTCTAACTGTAGGATAGATGGTGACGATATATAAACCAGTAAAATCTATTGTTCATTATCAAGGAATTTGGCCAAAATTTTGAAGAAATATTGTCTGTTCTAGACATATCAGCCTTTAACCATAGAGCCAGGCAGAATAAAGACAGCTTATCCTACTGTTGACAGCCTTTCATCTAGATGGAAGCGAAGTGTGAAAATGAGCAGTGCTTAGAGTCAGAAGCATGATGTCAAGAGTTCATAAACCTTGTGTGACACACAGGTCAGCCAGCTCCTCCTGGTGTACACTCTGCCTTTCAGCTTTCAGCTGTTGTAAACAGTAAGTGCAGACAATCATTACAGCACTGTGACTGACACATTTACCAACGAAACTGACAAACATGTCACATTGACTAACAATAACAAGGCGGAATCAAATCTAATAAATAAAATTTTTTAACTGAACATTATAACATTAAATTGGATATTACACACTGGCTTACAAAACACGTCTTTCTTCTTGGTAAACAATTCATTCAGTTTCAGAACTTGAATGATGCTCATCTCCAAGGCTCTAGTGTGCAGTATGATGAAAACTGAATTCAAAAAATGTTATAACAAGGAGTTGATTTAATATGGTTCTATTTTTGTGTAAAATATTTTACCAGCAAAGGTTCCTCTCTTTTAGCAGCAATTATTTAGCTTTATTTTTTTTACTGGTATTTCATATATGAAAGATGTACAACATTCACTGATTACCATAATTTCACACTTATTTAAATTAAGCTGTAATTCTAAGGCTGTAGAGAGAATGTCAGTTGTCTTCACAACTAATGGAACCTGTTCTTGATTTTTACAAAAAGGATAGCTAATAAACAGTAGAGGTGAGATCCAACAGCTGGAATCTAAATCTTACCCTTTTCTTTCTCAGTCAACTCTGGGCTGAAGTCTACATAACTGTCACCTGAGCCCCAAGGTCTGGCTGCTCATGCCGAAAGCTCCTGTGCACTGTCTCCTAGTAGGTCTTAGAAACAGCTGGAAAGAAAACAACAAACGTTTTATGTTATAAATAATAAATGGAAAATTTACACACATACATTACAGTAAAAGTTGTTTACATAGAATGGCTTTATTATCCACATAATGGAGCTTCAGACTTGCAGCTAGTGTTTCGATCAAATAAGCAGTGAGGCCTTGTTCTGAGGGGAGGCCAGTCTGTGGAAACAAAATGTAGATAGACCAGAGAATCTACTTTGCTTTACAGCAGGGTGCATGTAGCAGATTTTTTGTAATCTCTTACCTTTGCTCTGGTTCATAGCGTCAGATCTTTAAAGCTGTCACACCGCTTCTTATAAAATAGGTTTTCAGTGATCTCATGCTGTGGCCTCCTAACATTTCTGACTTGATGTCTCTGTTGTAGTCATTTGTCATGAAATGCAAAGATCATATCTCAAGACTTGTGAATTTGGGGCATTTTATTACTCAGAACCATCCTTTGTACCATTCAGCATCTGCTGGTAGCTGGTGGTAGCTTGCACTTACTCCCTTCTTATTCTTCTTTCTATAGTTGGTGCATTCAGGCGCCATACAACAAGCTATGTCTATCATTGACAAAGCTGATATTATTCAGTTATTGTGGTTTTTTTTGTGTTCTAGGCAAACAGTGAAGTAATTTCAGATACCTTTTTGTACACAGAGCCAGTGGACACATCAGGTTTGAAAGGATTTGTTTTGGAAGGATTTGGGGGATGAGCTCACAGACTGTATATAAAAGATGGACAATGTGTTATCACTCCCCTCCACTATGCAAAAGTGAAGCCACAATGCTGTGAATATGACAGCAGCCATCTTGACATTTTTCAACCAGTAGTGACCGAGTTGGTCAATGATGTATCAGATCTGTTCAATCAAAGCTGTCAGATCATCCAAAATACACTCCAGCATTCACTGCAAAGGTATTCACTACCACACCAACAGCACCCTCCCCCCCCCCCAACAAAATTCACACACCATGTTCCACCCATTAACATAGAGTGGGTGGGATTTTTGACCTATGCTGCAACCAGCCACAAGGGGGTGATCGACTTCTGGGAGTTGTCATATCCTTCATCTGTTATACAGTCACTGGTTGAGTGTCATGCATGCCATCATGTGCTCACACACAGTACATTTAGGCACAGCAGTAGCAGCTGGTGCGAGCAGGACAACTGAGCAAGCACAGCTTTCTTGGTTAATATAGCCTGTATTGCTTCAATTGACTACAGCTGCCATCAACACTGACAGGAAATCCATATAAAATGGATTAATTTTCTCAAACTGTTGCTGTTTGCACTATATCCCTGGTTGAGATAAATAGAGATGAGGCTGAAAATGGACAAAGTGATCCTGAAAACATCCCAGCAGTAAATCAAGCCTACATTCCATTGTCCTGTTTTTAACTGTTATACATCAGCTCTTCTCCTATTGATTCTGTGTATTTGTTCTGTGTACATGCTCATATATTAGAATCTAGATACAGTAAGCCTTTCTCACGGACAACTCCAGCAAACCTTTCCATAACAATACCATTTCCCTTAAACATTAGTTTGTCCTGACTCTAGTTAAAGTTTACATGTTCTTGACGCCTGCTGAGAAGAAAAGCATGACGGTAAGTGGTTAGACAAAATTTATTGCTTCCCGGTGGCCTGTGAAGGGGAAGGGAGTATTTGTTGATATTTCCCAGGCACTTGCTTCTGTATATTTCCAACAAGGAGTGACAAAGTCAGACTGAAAAACATGCTGTTCAAACATTCCATCTCCTTGCCACTATTGACTCACACATGCCTGTTCTATTCACTTTTTGCTCTTTGGCACAACTGACCCAAGACTGCATGAAGCCACAGCTTTACAATTAAAACAATGAACCTATTCTTTCTGGCTGTGGAGTTGTGGATTGCTGAAATAACATACTGTATATTCTTTATATTTTCATGTCATTTGAGTAGAGTATGCGGTTTATAAATGACTGGCATAGATCAGTCATGTACAGGTAGTATTGCAGTATTACTGCACTTAAATTTATCAGTGAATTTATTAGCTTTTTAGTCATTCTGCATCTCCCTTATCCCATACTGACCCTCATTCTCCCCTATGAACCACCTGTTCATTATCAGAGGTGGTATACTTTCCATCGCAAAATTGGCCAACACCTGCAAAAATGATCAAGCTTTGTCTGTTTGATATCACCGAGATGAGTTTGACCCTCATAATGTAGTTCCTTGATCAGGAAAACCTACTTTATCACTTGAAATCACATAAATATCATTATTACTTTGAAAGATATTAGCTGTTTTTTTCAGGATCTAGCTCAGTAACTTTTGAAGAAATGTCAAATCTTTTGACATCCTAATCAATCAGCAGAGTTTAAAATGGAATTTTATCTTAGTTGCAAGTATGTAGCATTTTTTCGTTGTCTCAAAGTAGCAAGTTTTCTATGAACCCTATAAAGCTGAACATTCTGGATCACCATTTCTGGAATATTACTTGTATCTGTACTTTGGTGTGTGCTAGAGTTTATGTGGATGTTATTGTGCAGTTTTTGTCCAAGCGTTGTAGGCATTACACATGGGTTTAGAAGCTAGAATATTGGAATTGAGCCTATCTGTTAATAGTGAAGGAAATTCCTGGATCCAGATAATGGTCTGGATCAGCAATGGAATCTGATTTCATCAAAATCCATTCATTAGATTTTGAATTATGCTGTGAACAAATCAACCAACAAATGCCAGTATTACCTCTGACTAGGCGGAGGTAATTATATAGCCTTTTTTCTTTAATACCTGAATAAAATGTTTTTCCTTGTGACATCAATGGTGGCCTGCAGGGACAAATAAAAAACAATGCTAATTCATAAATACAGAAAAAACAGAGACATTGTAAATCAAAAAATACAAACAAAAGGCAAAGCACATGCAAAAAGAAAATGCTGTAAGAGGAATTTTCCAGAATTGCTCCAGGATGCTAGGAGGAGAAATGAGCTTGATCTGGATAAATAGCAACAGTGCAGATACTTCTGTGTTCAGACAAATGGTGAGTCATAGGTAGTGCTGGTCAAAAATGAATGAAATCACTCTGTGTATATGGAAAAAGCTCTGCCATACAGGCACTTGTGGAATTTCCTAATCCTAATCACTATGACTAAACCTTTTTTTTCAAGTTGGGAATAGTTTTTTTTCCCATCTTTAGTCAGCATGCAAGACCTGAAACTGAGGGGTTTCTCCATCCTGTTCGTCATGTGGTGCGACCTTACAGCTCCCACCTCATAAGGCGATGCATTACAAGAAAGGGTCAGTTTTTTGTCCACAGAATAATACACCATCATTCCAGTGGACCGCAGTA